GAGGAATATACTTGGAGACTATGCAAATATCCTGTTTCTCATCAGACTTTTTCCCATCAGTTTCAGCATCCATTGGTGGATCTTGCCTGTAGCAATTATTACTGTGGTATTCTAATGGTAATTTTCTATTTCCATCATTCCTTCTACATTTATTAATTTAAACTCCTCTGTAAGAATTGTCTCTGCTTCCCAATTTATTTATTTCTTTAATCATTTTTTATATCAGTATGGACCCATGGATATTTATTTTATTATATGGGTCATAACCCAATACTATCATTATTTATTCTGTCACTCAAATTGTTCCAGCTTTGGCCATTAGAATCTCTTTCAGCTTGGCACCTCAAGATGCTCCAGGCTCATGTTATATTTTCCCTGCCCCAACCCTGGCATCAACCACTTCTCCAAGGAACTTTAATTAAAGAATGGTATTTAGAAACCAAGATCTGAATGCTAGGTGTACTCATTGCTATTGGGATCTTACTACATCTAGGTCCTCTCAGTGGTCAGAGCTTGGAAGTATATGTGTGTATCACTGGTTCACTCTTGATCTCTGATAAGATGAGGTCCTCACTGGTAAGGAGACCAGGCCCAGCCCCCATGACACTTCACAGAGAAATGGAAGGTGGTTGTGCTTTCATGCTGCCTGAGGGAGAATAGCAGAGAATGAGTGGCTGCAAGATTAGACCTACAGCATTTCAATCAGATCATTTTATCCTGGAGATCTGGCTGGAGTCAGGCAGGACCAAGTTGCAATAACACACAATAGCAGTGTTTGTTGTTGGCCAAATTTACTTAACTCTCAGAACCTCAGATGCTTAATTTGTAACACAGGAAAATAATTCCAACCTTGTGAAGTTGTTCTAAGTTGGAGATAAACTATGTAAAGTACCAAGTATATTAGGCATTCAGTGAGTTATCAAAGTAACATCTTACATTTCTGTAAATCAGTTGACTACATATCTGCATGTATACATACAGCTATTAGTAAGGTGGCTCACTTCTTGAATCCAAAACTTCTTGAACGCAAAACAAATAATCATACAGTTCCTGCCATTTCTAGCTTTGACTGAATATCTCTGTATCTTCTTGGGGAAGAAATACTCCTTAATCTGAAGGCTTCACACATGACTGTCTATTCCAGGATACACTGGAGGGGGTGAAAGTGGGACTTCTTGTGCTGGGATCCCACAAGTTGAAAATGTGGGCATATGCTGTGGGTCTTCATGATTCAGGAATGTAATGTCTAGGTCAAGTGTGAGAACCCTGCAAGTTGGCTTGTGAAATGATATGATCTCTTGCAGAGACACTGCTTTGTTATAGAGGAGTCCCAGAGTTGAAGGGTATCTTAGCAATCAGTAGACTAGCACCTTCCTTTTGGAGATAGGGAAGTGGAAATGGCTTGCCCAAGCTCACACCCTTCGTATTTCCTATAAACCATCTCTGACCTAAGTGTTCCCCTTTTTGTGGCTTATGAAGGCTCTCTTGTGACACTTTCCTACAGAAATATGAAACCAGAGTAGAGGTGCAATACAGTGGATCGCTTTTGTGTGGCCTTTCTCAACGTGGTCTTGTAACTCCCACCCAAGTGATTGGGCGGGAGGGACTGTGCAAATAGGGTAATTGTGGCCCATCAAGGGGATTGGTCAGTTTTGCCATCTTGCTGGGCTTGAAATGAGCCATCCCAGGGGCAAGAAAGAGAGGATCTCACCACCACCAAGGAAGAACAGCCAGGAGCAGAGCACATCCTTTGGACCCAGGATCCCTGCACTCCTCAAACCAGAAGACAGAGAGAGAGCTGTAACACTGAAGATGGCGAGAAGCAGAGGCAGAGAAACAGTGGCAGGAGACGGCATGGTGTACTTCCCAGCCCACGGAATGAGAAACTAAGTACCTTCGGGCAGGAGGCTTGCTGGCAGAGTTGGGTGCCTCCGGGCACTTGGTGGAGCTAGGTTTGCTGACCCACAGAGCTAGAGCTGAACACCTATAGACAGAGGCTTACTAGCAGAGTAGGGTGCCTCTAGGCACTTTGTGGAGCTAGGTTTGCCAGCCGATGGAGCCAGAGCTGAGTGCCTTCAGGCTGAGGCTTACTGACAGAGTAGGGTGCCTTGGGGCACTTATCGGCAGAACCAAAAGAGCTTTGTAACACTTGCCGGAGCAGGGCAGAGGCTGAGGGCCAGAGAGAGACATGCCTGCGAGCAGAGCTGGGACGAGACTGTCATAATGGAAGAACTGTATCCTGAGTGCTCCTGAACCTGAATTGTAACCTGTTACTTCCCTAATAAACCCCGTAATTATATGAGTATTGTCTGTGAGTTCTGTGTGGCCATTGCCATGAATTATCGAACCCAGCAGAGAAGTAGAGAGTGCCGTGGGAGGGACAGTTGGTGTTAGAATTGGTAAAGATGGCAGAGAGAGGAGGCATGCCTGACCGCCGCCTTACAGGAATCAGCCTTGGGCTGTTGAACTTGATTCTTCTTTCCCTTTGTGAAGTTAGAGGAGGTCAGATGCCTCCACCACCCCATTGTTATAAGAGCGTTATTGCCAATTCAGTCCCTCATTTGTTTTCAAGGAAGGGCTTGAATGTGGTGAGGGAGCGAGCCATTCAGGTATCTGAGGGAAGAGTGTCCCAGGCCGAGGAAACAGCAAGATGAGAGAGTAAGTACTGGATACTTTGATCTTCAGGAACCCAGACTCATCACGTCAACCAATCTGTTTCCTATCCCTTCACCTGCTCGCCTTTGTGGAATTTATTAGGGACTTATATTTACCCCACAATATATATGTCAGACAATAAGAAGGAATAGCAACTAAATACAATAAAATAAGAGGACTGGTGTAGGTACCAGGAAGCTAGGTTCTAGTTCCATCTGCAGTATAATTATTTAGCTATGATTTGGGGCAAGTCACTCAACCTCTCTGGGCCTCAGTTTTCTCATCTATGAAATGAGGGGTTTGGCCTAATCATTCTAAGGTCCCTTCCAGCTTTATTTTATAATTCCTTAAACTATAAATAATTTCAAGGTTTTAAAATAAAACTTGACCTCAAATCCTTATGAATCTTGAAAATGCAGATTGTTCCAGGGGACAGTCTGTGAAATCAGAGTAGCAGTTAGAGGACGCAGCCCTGCCAGCAGCCAGTCCTGTACTCTCCCAAGGAGAGAGCTAAAGACTTAAGTACCTGTTGTGGTTGTTGATGTTGTTGTTAGGTACCACTGAGCTGAGATCAACTCATAGCGACCCCCATGTGACAGAGTAGAACTGCCCCATAGGATTTTCTTGGCTGTAATCTTTATGGGAGAAGATAGCCATGTCTTTCTCCTGCAGAGCCGCTGGGTGGATTTGAACCACCAACCTTTCAGTTAGCAGCCAAGCAGTGGTATATCCTGCTAAAGGGGAATTGGCCAAAATAGAAGTACCGGTGGGACCCAGGACTCCCATGAGTTCTGGCAGTGTGGAAGTCTTAGACCACTGAGAAGCAGGCGGGCCACCACACAGTCAAACTGAGGGACACAGGGCATGCAGGCCAGTAGCTGGCAGGAAAGGAAGCACCTGTAATAATGCTCATTTGCATACAACAACTCTCCAAGCAATTTTCCATCCATGATTTCATTCTGTCAGTACAGCAAGCCTGTGAGAAAGGTGGTAGACAGAGTTGATCCTTGTACATCTCTGTTTTACAGCAAAGGATTGTGAGGATCAGAGAGGTAAATTGTTTTTTGCCCAAAGCCGGGTAGCTAGTAAAGGTGACACTGGGCCTGGAGCCCACATCATCTGGCAGCCAGCCTGGTGGTGGGCTCCAACAGCAGACCGTCTCAGCCACGGCACACTTTAGGGTCAAAATTTTAAAATGCAGGTGTCCAGGCCCCTCCCCAGAACTACTGAGATGGATTCTTCAGGGGTGAGGCCATGTGAGCAGCAGCCACAAAAGATGACCTAGTCATCCTAGTTCAGTATTGAAATGTGCGTAGGCCCAAACATGGGACATGAAGAGAAGTGAAATCTTCAATGGAAATGCAGAAACATCGAGGTGTGATTTCCTCTGCTGTCTTTTAGTCTGGTCACTTCCCTAAATACAATCTGTGTGTGGTATCTTAGCTTTAGTGTCTTAGTATTCTAAGGGAATTGCTGAAGGAAAGGAGATATGTTAGATCTGAATTCCTATTTTTCACTGATTTTTAATAAATGGGGTTATAAGAATGTTCTTGAGTGTGGATGAATGCTAGGTTTAGATTCTCTGTTAATTATGCTCACTACCATATTCTTGTTCTCATACTTATTTTTAGACTGAAAAATTCAAGAGAAGGGGCTGACATTATGTAAGATTATATGATAATTAAATAGGCAATACTGATCTGTACATGAAGGTATAAATGCATTGCTGCTGACCTCAGCTACCCATGTTGAGGCAAGGGTAATAATTACAAACATTTGTTAGCACCTGCATAGGCCAGGTGCTGTGCTTAGTATTTTGCATATATGATCTTAATGAATCCTCAGAGCAACTCTGTGAGGTAGGGCGCAGGATAGTAGGAAATGTAAACTGTAGGTAGTAAAACCTATCTCACAGAGTTTTTGTAATGATAGTGACTTGACTCCACCCAACACGGCACTTTTATAGAGGATGCCTGAGACCCTCTTGTGTCCATCCTCATCCCAGAGGGTGGGGCTAGTGAAGGCCGAGGAGAGCTCATGGTGGGCTGGTGAAGAGGCTGGAGAACTAGCACAGGGGTTATGCGCACCAGCTTTGGAGCACATTAACCTCAGTTGGAATCCTGGTTCTGACACCTTAGGAAAGTTATCTAAGGTTGCTGTGCCTCCGTTTCCTCATCTGTAAGATGGGAAGATTCTTGTGAAAATTAAGTGTAAGCGCTCAGTAATATCCACTGCTACCCCTGGTGCTGTGATTGCCATTAGTGCCCACGCTAGGCTGTCCATGATGGGAAACACAGAAGGTGAGAGCTGGGGTTGCCACTGACCTGGTGCCCCCTCCATTCCAGCAATTCCCCTTCTGTCTGATGTCAGTGAATATCACCCGCATCGCCATCCAGGCCTTAAGGGAGGAGTGTCTCACCAGGTGAGTCCCCACACTGCTCACCCCCCAATCAGCTGATTAGAGTGGACCAGCAGAGCCTCACTCACTCCCACCCTGCCTCGGTCTCCCCAGCTCTTCCTCACCTGCTGGCTCCTGGAGGCCCTGGACAAAGTCCATATGCACCTATCTCGCCCGCCATGTCTCTTCCCCAACCCTGACCTCTGATGTGAAGGCCGCCAGGGGACTGTTGGGGCGTCCAGTGTCTATGCTAGCTCAGGCCCATGGGGCTCAGGCCCATTCTCCTGGGAAGGGTGGGAGGGCACCAGGTGTCAGCTTTGTCCATTCATGAGCAAATCATCTCCCTTGTCCTAAAGGGAGTGTAATCGGCAGCAAAAGGTAATCCCAGTGGTGAACAGCTTCTACGCGGCCACTTTCCTCCGCCTTGCCCATGTCTGGAGGACACAGCAGAAAACCATCTCAGACTCAGGCTTCGTCCTCAAAGGTATGAACTTCCACCCGGGGAGGCCTGGGCTCCTGAGCTCCTAGTGTCCCCAGCATCAGGGACCCAGGATTGGTCGTGAGACTGGTTTTGGTTGCAGTTCCCTTCCCCCCAGCCTCCACCCATGCTTTCTCAAATCCCAGCTTCCTGTTACTTCTCCTTTCTCTGCCACCACTTTCCTCCCTTTGTGGCCTTATACCTATGATGATCATATTTTCTGAATCAAAAATTGGAAGCAAGGGTATAAACAGTTGGACAAACTATTCAAAATTGAGATTGTCCTGGACAAGGTAGAATGTATGGTCCCTGTGGCTATACCTGGTTCCTAGGTCTTCCCATCTGGTCATCTCTCCATCTTAGAAGATTCACTTTTCTCTCCATAGTATCTGGGTTGGGGGTGCTCGCTGGAGTTTCTAGCCCTGAGATCATGTTGTACAGTCTAAAGCCCCCTCATGCTTTTTGTTCTCCAATCCTCTCTGTTTCAGACTTGGAAGCGTTGGCCAAGAAGAACCCAAGACGGCTGCTCAAGACCCTGGAGATCTACTTGGCTAGGGTGTCAAAGGGACAGGCCTCGTTGTTGGGTACACTGAAGTGCTATGGGCCCCAAACCCCTCACTCCAAGGATCTCACCTTCACAGGTGTGTGTGACCTGTCACTGCACTCATCCGAAGGCGCATGGCCAATCTGACCAACCCCAGAGGCTGACTGATGGAAAGACTTAAAGGGGGGCCACGGGGGCCTTCAGAGAGTCCGCAGGAGGCTGTGTCGGGGCCACTCTGGCTGGGCCAACACCTTTCTGTCTCAGCAGGTAGTGTAGGAAGCTCCTGGTCCTGGTTGGGGAAAGCCAAGGACCCTCTCCTACATGAAACATTAGATGGGTTAGGCTTGACTCACTCCCTGCAGAGCTGTCTCCAGAGCAAGGAGAATTTTGCCTTAAGCTTAACTATACTGGTTTACAGAGTTAGGTCCCAGTTTATCTCAATGGAAAAACCCTATCTGGATGTTCCCCATATCCCCACGTTGAAGGATATCATCAGCAGAGAAAACCAGAATTCTGACTCCCTGGGCAGCAGGACTTCTACAGGCCTGGGAGACTGTGTGGTTAGAGTAGAAGAGAGAAGATAGCAGTGGCAGCAGCCAGCAGGGGGCAGCATGAACCAAAGCAAGCTGTCGGAGACCTCAGCCTTCCAGGCTTTGCTCTCCTCCATCCACCCGACCAGTCTCTGGGCCCCCTCTGGGGTTTCTGGCCACTTGCCCCATCCCCCCACCCCATCTCTCCCTAGCCCCTCCTGCCACTGTTTATGATGTGGAAACAGGCATTTAACTAGGTATCCCATTGCTGCCCTCAGACTAGGGCTCCCTCACCCATAGAGGCTGTTCAGTTCCCATCAGGGATGGTTTTCTGGCCCTGAGGGAAGGAGAAGTCCATACACCAGCAGTTCTCAAATAAAGGAATCGTTCTAGTTTAAGTTTCTGTTCCCTGTACTCTGGGTTCTACTTTCAGAGCACCACTGACTTCCCTCCCCAACCAGCCCCTGGGTGGTCCCTTCCTTTATTGAGGGGAGTTAGAGATGCGAGGCTGCTTTCCTGTCCTTTGTTCTCCCTTAAGTAGCACCATGGGAGACCACTGTCTCTGTCCTACAAGGTTCTCCAAGTCTGACCGACTGGAATTGGGGCCCATCGCAGAGGTGGGAGGGCAGATGGCCACTCCAGGTGGAAGGGAAATTCCCTGGCTGCTGTCAGCAGGATGTTCAGGGGTAGGGTGGTCACAGACCCTGCTGTTCCCCTGTGCCATCTTGCCTTACCTGAACTAATCCTTTGTTCCCCTTACTTCCTCCAAACTGGGTCCTCAGCTAACCAGCCAAGATGACAGGAAGATTAGTTGCTTGGGTAGGGGTTAGAATATTTTTTTCTCCAATTGCCATTGAGTCGATTCTGACTTCTGGAGACCATGTGTGTTAGGGTAGAACTGTGATCCATAGGGTTTTCAGTGGCTGATTTTTCAGAAGGAGATTGCCAGACCTTTCATGCAAGGTGCCTCTGGGTGGACTCAAACCACCAACCTTTCTGTTAGCAGCCAAGGACATTACCCATCTGTACCCGGGACTTCAGGGGTTGGAGTGCAGATGAGAAAAATTGCAGCTGAGCCTGTTTTTGAGTGTCGGGTACAATGGTTCCTTTCCTTCTTACTCCATTTGCTCACTCTGAGACCAGAAGGCAGACTCAGCTGCGAATGCCCAGCCTCCAGGCACATCCCAGGAGGTCTACCCAGTCATGGGAGCCTTTAGCTGGAGGGGAAGCCAGTGCCCATCTACAGTAGCCCTTTCAAACTGCTTCAGTCACTGTGTGATGCTGTCTATACAACAGAGTGCTCAAAGCTTCATATATCAGGATGTTAGCCATATGTAATCCAGGAGTTTTTAAGTTGGGGTTCTTTTGATGGACTGGTTGTGGGGAGGGGTATCTGACCCATCTGAAAGTAGATGCAAAAATCTTAATATGTGCATTTGTCTTAGGAAAGGGTCTATGTTGCACAATCCTAAAACTATTGTCAGAACCACTGATTTAGTGCAACCTTTATTCTCTGCCTTTTTAAAAATCATCCATGGCATATGCTCTTCGCATAGATTGTCAGGCGTAGGTTCCAAATGTTTCTGTGCTGGGGCAAGGGTGAGCAGGGCAGGGGAGCTGAATTTTCTGTGCTTCTTGGCACAATCTCAACAAGATGAGCTTGGTCAAGATTTTTGTTTGGATGGAAGAATCCAGTGTATCAGAGCTCAGAAGCTCTTAGGACCCAGGGTTGGGAGTGACAGGGGTGAGGCTGGGTTAGGGCAGCTGCAGCCCTACCAGGCCTCAGGGACACTTGTCCAGGCTTACACAGATTCACACCTTGGTCTTGCCCTCCCAGACATGTCATCCAGGATGGGATGTCTTTTTGACTACTCCATTCGCACCCCCCTATTTAGCTGTCAGTTCCCTTTGAGGAGTCCCTGGGTGGTACAAACAGTTAATGCACTTGGCCTGCTAACCAAAAGGTTAGAGGTTCGAATCCAGCCAGAGGCACCTCAGAAGAAAGGCCTGAAGGCAGGACCAAGATGGTGGAGTAGTCAGACGTTTCCAGTGGACCCTCTTACAACAAAGACTCGAAACAACAAGTGAATCAATTATATATGACAATCTAGGCGCCCTGAACATCTAAGGCAAAGTTGAGGAACCAGACTGAGTGGCAGGGGGAGGAAGAGAGGGTTCAGATGCAGCAAGGAGTTTCTAGACCTGACCTGGAGAGAGCCTGAGCCCTTCAGGCCTGATCAGCTCATGGTGAGCAGTGAGGCAGGCAAGCAGCAGTGCTCAGGAGACACGTCTTCCACACCAGGAGAGACCCAGCACCAGAGAGTCTATTTGGCCACCCAGAACCAGTGAGAAGCAGCCCTCGATCAGCGAAAGATAAGTACTTGCGTACGGCCTTACGGAAAAACAACCCCCTTAGGGAAAAACCTCTCTCACATTTGCCTCCCCACTCCCTGCTCTGCACTGGGTCCCGAACCAGCTTCAGCAATTGCTGAGTCCCCTGGGCCAGAAGTAGGATCCGTCACACCCCCTGAGCCATTCTCCCAGCCTTGGAGAGTGAACAAATTAACAAACGGGAAAAAATAAACTGCCGGCTCCCCTAAGCCAGGAACCCAGGGTAGGCACAGCTCCTTTGCCTAGGCACAGGCATAAGGGATCCATAGACTTTGAGTGCCTTTCCCCCTGCAGAGACTTGTGTGGGCCCATTTCAACAGTGTAGGTCCTCATCAGCACAACAGGGTATATACCTGAAGTCTAACTTGAACTGTTTCAGCTGTGAAGTGGCAGGCTCATGACATTTGACACTGCTCTGCCCATTAAGCAGAGTCTTCACCTACCCACATCAGGGGCCTGAGGACCAGTGGCTCCACTCACACCACCTAGCCACCTGGAATAAGGGCCCATGAATAAGAGGTGCCCCCTAGTCCTTACAGCCAACAGCACTGGGTGCTCATAGTCCAGCTGCAAAACCCACCCACCTGTGCGCTCTAGGGAACAGGGACATGCCTTCCTCCTGGACACTCGGGGGCGGCCGTCAGCCCCCTGCCTTGCTCAGAGTGTGTCCCCCTGCTGCAGCCAGATGCCTGTGCCTACACCACACACTTGGTGGCTATCTACCTGGGCACCTGAGCTGAATCCATACAGGAGCAATGGGAAGACTCCTGAGCTCACATACCTAGTAACAGATCTAACCACCTGGTGACAGGACATTAGAGCTTCAAAGGTGCCAATAATCAAACTAGCTCATACGAGCAGCCTATTTGGGCATATCAAAACAAAACAAGACGCTAGGACATAGTAAGCAAACATAAATAAATATAATGACTTATTGATGGCTCAGAGACAACAGTCAGTATCAAATCACATAAAGAGGCAATCCATGATAGTTTCAGCAAGCTCCCAAAATAAAGAATCTAGAAATTTTCCAGAGGAGGAAAATTTCTTGGAATTACCAGAGGCAGAACACAAAAGATTAGTATACAGAACTCTTCAAGAAATTAGGAAGGAAATTAAGCAAAATGCAGAACACACAATAGAGGAAATTAAAAAGATTAGAGAAGAGCATAATGACAAATTTAACAGGCTGCAAGAATCCATAGAGAGACAGCAATCAGAAATCCAGAAGACCAACAATAAAATTTCAGAATTAGACAACTCAATAGAAAGTCAAAGGAGCAGAATTGAGGCAATGGAAGTCAGAATTAGTGAGATTGAAGAAGAAAGCCCTGATAATCTACTTCCGAAAAATCAGCCATTCAAAACCCTATGGGGCACAGTTCTACTCTGGCACATGTGGGGGCATCCTGAGTTGGAGTTCACTCTGTGGCAGCTGCAATTTTTTAAAAATTCTTTTTGGGAGTCCCTGACAGAGCAGGAGAAAAGTGGGATGCAGAACTCAAATTCTAGTAAAAAGACCAGACTTAATGGTCTGACTGAGACTGAAGGGACCCCAGAAGACATGGCCCCTGGACTGTCTGTTAGCCCAGAACTGAAACCATTGCCGAGGCCAACTCTTCAGACAAAGATTGGACTGGCCTATGGGACATAAAATGATACTTGTGAAGAGAGTGCTTCTTAGCTCAAGTAGATACGTGAGACTAAATGGGCAGCTCCTGTCTGGAGGCGAAATGAGAAGGCAGAGAGGGTCAGGAGCTGGTTGAATGGACATGGGAAATCCATGGGACAGTGGAAAGGAGTGTGCTGTCACATTATAGGGAGAGCAGCTAGGGTCACACAGCAATGTGTGTATAAATTTTTGTATGAGGAGCTGACTTGAACTGTAAACGTCCACTTAAAGCACAATAAAAAATAAATAAAAATAATAAAAATTCTCTTTGGTATTCCAGCCACCACCAACTATACAAGAGAATGAACTGAGGCCTAGACAAGGAAAAGAACCTTGTCCAAGATCAAGCAGGTGGGTGGGAACCGGAACCCGGGACTCCTGACTCCCAGGCCCCTGCTCTTCCCACAGCCCCACTTTGGCCCTGGGCTTATCACATAAACAGCAATGCAGCGTGCCATGAAGTAACAAGCCAGGTGTCTGTACAGTAGTGAGAAGTATTCTTCTCACTAGGGCATTTGGAATCTGCCTTGCAGTGGTTTATTAGGGCATCTCAGGAAATACTGGCTTAACTGGATATGCATCCCAAGCCTATTGCCACAACTTTCTCCCAGCTGGGAATGTGAGACTGAAGCAAACCCCCAGGTGAAAGCGATCCTGGGGCCTGGAGCTGTGCCACCTCCCTCTTGGGTTCACAGCAGAGCCTGCCTGGCACTTCTGGCCCCTCTGCCTCAGTCATGAAAAGCCACGTCTGGCCCCAGAGGAGACCCAGGCCCCTCAGAAGCTGTGGAGTTGTTACCTGTGTGCTACTCTGTCCCCAGCACAGCCATGAGCTGGGTGAACAGGTGGGCGCAGTGAGAACTAGCCCAGGCCATGCAGTGCAGGTAGGTCTCTGGGTGGTGCAAATAGTTTGCACTCAACTACTAACCTAAAGGTTGATGGTTCCAACCCACCCAGTGCTACCATGAAAGAAAGGCCTGGCAATATGCCTTCATTAAGATCAAAGCCAAGAAAACCCTACAGAGCAGTTGTACCTGTAACACATGGGGTCGCCATGGTCGCCATGAATCAGAATTGACCTGACGGAAACAGGTTTGGTATGGTATGGCGTGGCATGGCATGGCATGGTATGGTATGGCATGGTGTGGTTTGGTATGGTGTGGCATGGTATAGTATGGTAGGGTATGCAGTGCAGGCAGAGAGCCAAGGAAAGCATTTGCTTCCTTTATTGAACATCCACAGGGTTCACGTCCGCATTGACCATTCGCCAGAGGGAACAAAGCAGGCAGGTGGTGTCCAGGCAGCAGAGTGGGGTGCAGGGAGACGAGGGCTCTCATTTCCAGTTCTTGAAGAATTGCTTGAAGATGGGACTCTCGCGGCCCTGGGGCAGAATCTCCACCTGCGGGGACAGTGAGGGAGAGGTCCAGCTTCCAGGGTTGCCACCTCTGCCTCCACCAGGGAGGATAGAGTAGGTTGGAGACATACAGGAGGTTTGTGGGGCACTGGGCCTGAGCCCACATGCAGTCCAGACCAGGGCTACTCCTCCAAATAAGCCAAGAAACAAGAAACCAAATTACAGGGACACGGGCTAAAATGACAGGCTGCCTCAAAGACTTGGGTGCACAGTCTTATAGATGCCACCAATTATAGATGAGTCTTATCAGCACCTCTGGGAATAGTTTGTCAAGCCACTGTGCTGGGGCTGAAGGGACAGAACCAGCCAGGGATGATGGCCCACAGAAGGAACACAAGCTGTCCAAAGACATACCCAGCTCTTGGGGCTCCCAGGGGGTGCTGCCCAACATTCTTTTAGAAAATAACATTCATCTTAAATTTTGAAGGTTTGAGAAGGGCTTTCCCACTGGATGGGTCTGGTGGGGAGGCTGGAGTATTCCAAGGCTGTCCTGCCCTTCTTGTCCAGCCTGGGGGTAGGAGGCCACAGAAGGAGCCCAGGAGGAGGGTTGGGGGCATGGGGTGTCTCCTCACCTGAGTGTTTGGGGCATACTGCATGCGGGAGATGAAGCCCTCGGCCACTTGGAGGGCCACCTGCCGCTCCTTCTCGTTAGCTTTTTGCCCTGGATCACAGGAAGGAGCTATTTTAAAAGGGCAGAAATTCTCTCTAGCTCCTATCCCATTTTCTTAGGGAAATTTAAGGGAGTCCAGGGGATAGCTAGCAACTTTTAAAAGTTGGACCAATTTTTTTAAAGTTAAATGGACCGGGAGGTCCTAAGAATGCTGAGGAGTTCTTTGGAGGTGTGAAGTCAGCCCCTGACTTCTCCCACCTTGGCGGCTCCAAGCTAGATGAAAGTTTATCTTCTTGCGTTTCTTGCCGTCTAATCATCAAAACCTGCGGCTTCAACCGGCGCTCCAGGGAGAGGCATGGGTATGCAACCTGGCGTCCAACTCTAAGGCCAGGGTCCCCCCAGTAAGACTCCTTGCTTCTTGAGTCTGTCAGCTGTCCTCTTACCAAGCCTTTTTCGTAAAGTGAACTAGGACAAGGGGATGCAATTTCTGATGGAGATGAACTTATTCCACAATGCCAGAAAGTCTACATAGGCCTAATAATTATGTTAACAAAAAGCTTATCCAAACCACTTCCACACAGTAACCCATTCATTTCTACAGGCCGTCCCTTTAATACAAAGTGTGCTCTAGTTTAAGGCATTTTTCCATGAAAACAAAGTTGTCGATTTGGTTAGCTCCCCAGCCAGGCAATAAGAAAATCTGATAACTACAATGTCTCTGAAATTAATATGCTGTATCCTTCCTCTTTGAATTGACTAGCTGCACCCCTGCCCATGACAGACTTCTCTTCCTGGCCTCCCAAGTCTCCTGTTTCTCCTCTTGTCTCTCTTTCCTTAATGGTTTGTCTTTGCTTGGGGTTAAGCAAGCTTCCGGCAGCGGGTCTGGGAACCCCTGCATGTTTGGCATTGGTTCCATGGGAAATGTACCGTGTCCTGGGAGAAGACAGCCCCACTAGCACAATTCCCTCTCTTCCCACTCTTTCAGTCTTAGAATCCCAGCAATGCTGCTGGCTGCTCCAGGTTCTTCCCTTTTGCCTACATTTCTGCTGTTATTACGGGCTAAAAGTGCTAACTAAGGAGCTCTGGCAGTGCGACGGTTAAGCACTCAGCTGCTAACTGAAAGGTTGGTGGTTTGAACCCACCCAGCTGCTCCAAGGGAGAAAGGCCCAGCAATCTGCTTCCATAAAGATTACAGCCTAGATCAAGTAGATACATGAGACCAAATGGGCAGCTCCTGTCCAGAGGCGAGATAAGAAGGCAGAGAGGGTCAGGAGCTGGTTGAATGGGCATGGGAAATCCAGGTGGAAAGGAGGAGTGTGTTGTTACAGTAGGGAGACCAACTAGGGTCACAAAACAATGTAAGTATAAATTTTTGTGTGAGAGACTAACTTGAATTGTACACTTTCACTTAAAGTACAACAATAAAAATAAAAATAAAAGATTACAGCCTAGAAACCCCTGTGGGGCCTTTCTACTCTGTCACGTGGGTTTGCTGAGTTGAGATCTACTCAACAGCACCCAACAACAACACCGCTAATGCCTGGCAGCAGCTAACGTTAAAACACCAAAGTCCTTCTCCATCTTCCTGACCAGGCTAAGAATTTCTCTCGGCCTCAGTTGACCCCACAAATATCTATTGAACAAATGCTATTTTGTCAACAGTCCAGAGACAGTGTGGTTCTTGCTTTCAAGAATTTATCATCTGTGCAGGGACGTCAGACATGCTCAAGAAAAGACAACCACAGGAAAGTAACGGGAGGCTCCACGTATCACTCAGAGACCCAGAGCTTCATTTCAACGTTTTGGAACAGTCAGACAATCAGAACAGGCTTCTGCACAACAGTGTTTCTATTTCCAGCTGATAGTATCTCTTGAAAAAACAAGTTCTACAGGTTCCCATCCACTGCATAAAGTAACGTCTAATTTAGCTAAAATGTCTCTCCAGCACACCTCAAGGCAGAATCCCAGGATCAGGGTTTCCAGCAGCCCCAGTGACCTAGGAATTCTCTAGAACAGTGGTTCCAAAGTGTGGCCCCTGGACCAGCAACATCAGCATCACTTGGGACCTTGTTAGAAATGCAAATTCTCAGGCCCTACCCCAGACCTAGTGAATCAGGATCTCTGGGGGTGGGGGTTTAAACAAGCCCTCAGGCCTTCGATTCTGATCCATCCTAAAGTTTCAGAACCACCACCTAGGACTTAAGGGAATGGGAACAGCAAAGGGCAAGCCCTCAGTCAGAAGCACCCGGGCTCCCTGAGGCTGACTCTGGAAAGCTCCCAGGTAGGCAGAGACCCCCAAGGGAAGCCTGCTGAGTCACATCAGCTGAAAGGGTCTCGGGCTGGAGTGGAGAGGCCACACATACCCTTCCAGATGTAGATCTTGCCACAGAGCCCGTTGTCCAGCACGAAGCAGTCATCAGATACGAGCAGCTCGAGTGGAAAAGGGCTAGAGTCGGCCACCTTGGTCAGGTTCATCTGTCCAGTGGCATCAGAGACCTGGGGGAGAAAGGGCGGTGCCAGGTCCCATCCTCCTCCCCCAACATACCTCAGCCCAAGGAGCAGACTACCTAGTCCCTCCCCAGCTCCTTCCCACTCTGCCAGTCCTCTGGAGCCTCCTCCACCCCTACCCACCACCCCAAGCCCTGAGGAGCAGACAGGGGACAGGAAGGAAGCACTGAGGCTGCCCCCACCCCTCCCATCAGCCTAAATCACTGCAGCACACTGGCGAAAATCCATTTTGGAATTAGAAGGATTTCAAATTACAAATAAATACAAACAATGGGAAAAAAAAAAAAAGGTAAAGCTCATCATTGGCTTCAAACCTCACTTCTCCACAAATGGGCCAGAAGTGAAGTGACGTTTCTCTACTGAGGAGGTCCTCACATCCACTCTCTTCCCGTATCCTTCTCACTTCCAGCTCTGGATCAACCTCCTTGGTTCCCACCCGACCTTCCCACTGCTTTCTTCCCCTCACTTTAGCCCCACATGCACCCCTTGCTGCTCTGCGCAGGCTCCCACCTTATACAGAGCCGCGGCCTGGGCGTTTGTCTGGTCAGCCGTAAGGTCTTCCTCGGGGTTGCCCTCCTTCAGAGGTGGCTTGGGGCCCAGGACCTGCAGGGGCCAGGGCAGGCCAGCTTTACAGGGACTCCTGGGCACCTGCCCCAGACCTTCTCAACCCATCATGCCCAGGGCCACCACTCTGGTGGGACAAACTGTGCCCTGTACCAGGACACTCAGCAGGGGTGAGTGAGTCTGGATCCAGCCCACTGCACCAGCCAGGCCACTTGTCCTCAAGGTTGCATCCACCCAGAGCAGGCACCTTATTCTCAATCACACATAGGCACCCTGTGAGCCAGCCACAGACCTCATTAGTACTCCAGACCCTTCCTGCCACCCTCCACCGGCCACCCACATGCCCCCCAGATGATCACCACCTCTCCTGGCCACTTCTAAGCAGAGGCTCCCGGCCACCCACCCCAACGTCCCCTCTACCTGGATCATCTCGGCAGGCTCCTCCCCATCAGTGACAATCTCCACCTGGGCCTTGCCCTGCCGCTCACTGTCCCGAATGGCCAGGGCCAAGTCCCGTGCCTTGTTGCGCTCCAGGATGTTGGACTTGCCACCACACCAGGCAAAGATGGTCTGAAGGGAAGTGGGGAGGGCAGTCAGAGCAGCTGCCTGTGCCCTGCTTCCCATGCAGTATGGGGGGAGGCAGCTTGGAGGAAGGGTCTTTACTTCTCTCTCTCCTCTCAGAAGGGCTGTCCACTGAGGCAGGACCATTAAGAAGGCAGAAGCAGACACAGAGGCATCTCCGAGAACAGCCGTAACCACACTCTCTTCCAACGGCCTTTACTTTTCTCCACATCACTTACTGCCATAGAGTTTCCTTCTTCATCCTATTTATACTCTCTCTCCTCTGACTGGAAAGTAAGCTTCACTAGGGCATGAAGTTTTTCTTTTATTTTGTTTTGTTCACTACTGTATGCTGAGTGCTAAGGCAGAGCCCAGCTCCTATATAGGCACAAAGTAAATATTTACTGAAAGAATGAATGGGTGAAGGCCATCCTTGGGCCCCTGTCTCATACCCTTTCCCATACCCACTGTCAGACAAAACACCTCAAGTCTCCTGAGGTGTTTATTGCAAGATTCGCTCACTGCCTCAGCCTCAAAGCTTCTAATCTACCTTACAAACAGCTCCTGGGTTGATCTTCTTGCCCAGAATCTTCAGTACTACAAGATGCAGTCCACACTCCCCGACAGTCAACCTTCTCGTGACCTGGGTCTCACCTCCCTTCACAATTGCCTTTCCCACGGCTCCTGTTCCCACCCCAGGTCCCAGTCAAACTGGAACCTTCACTGGTTCTCCATCCTCGTTCTTGCCCTTCCCCACCTCTGCCTCAGCTCACCTCTTCCCTTTGCCTAGAATGACATTCCCCCTCCATGAAGGTCTGTCAAAGGGCACATTCCTGGGACAATTGGCTTCAGCTCAAGCTTGAGGATCCCTATTTCCAAGCTCCTTCAGCACATGGCTACTGCCTCCCATAAAGCCCTCATCACATCCTGCCATGGGTTATGTCAGGTGACAGATGCATCTTGACTGCCACCCTAGGGGAAGCTTCTTGGGGACAGGTACTTTTCTATCCAGCATTGTGGTCCCACTGCTAGCTCAGAGAGGGCACCATAGGTCCACCAAATGAATAGATGAGTGAGTAATGAATGGTCTGGCAGGCAGCTGACTTCTGAGCTACAAAGTCTTCCAGGAGAAAGAGGGAGTAAGTTCCAGTGTTGGAGGCAATGGCAAGAGGTGACAGGGAGGCCGATTTCTGTCCTTACAATTAAAGGGATGTTTTCTAGTGGCTGAAGTGGTCCAACATGGAACGGGCTTACAGCTTCTCAGCTTCCCTCCCTCTCTCCTGCTTCCTGGTCCCCCTTCCTTTTAAAGGATGGTGCCAATACAGAGTGCTCAGTCCAGCCCTGCCCACCCACCTGACCCAGGTCCAGGATGAAGCAGTCCCCAGTGTTGAAGCTGTCCCAGCTCAGCGCTCGCTCCGTGGCTCGGATGTTCTTCTTCCCCTTCACGTGGTAGAGTTTCTTGATGGCAGCTGGGGTGGCCCCTGGGGAGGTCTTGTGGAATGCTGACTCCACGCCGCCTTCCTGCAGCCCAGACAGCCAGCCTGAGTGGGTAGATGGGAGACCTGCCCCCTCATACCCTATCCAGGTGGAGAGGTGGGGGACCCAGCCCTGAGGATGCCCAGGCCTCCTGCAAGGTGAGAACGAAGCCGGAAGAGGAGCTGACTCTGAGGGGAGCCACAGGGTGGGGGTGCCGGGAGTGGACTCTGACCTGGTACTTGAGGCCACGCGGGAAGTAGCTCATGAAGAGGTCAGACTCATTGCCCTGCACCTCGCGGTGCTGCACAGGCCGCTCCCCGAGCAAGGTGTTGAGGTGCACGGCCAGCACTGCACAGGCCCCCTGCTCATCCCGGGATGATTGCTGGCCTGGGACGGTGGGCAGGTGGCAGGGAAAGGCCTGTGAGACCCATGCAGCCCCAGCCCTGCCCGGGCCAGGCCCTGCCCTCTTACCCTAGCTCCCTTACCTATCCACAGGTGCAGGTGAGAGAGCTCTTCTGGGCCATTGTGTAGCACTAGGTAGGAGTCTCCCGAGAAGAAGACACCCCGGTTCTCAGGTGCCACGGCTACCGGCTTCAGCTTCTCCACCCGCCAAACATGCAGGCCAGGATTCTGCACAGAGGCTGGGAATGGGGAGCCACTGCCGGAGGGGAGAGCGTTGGTAGTGGCTAGGGCCCAAGACAAGTGGGTCTAAGCCCAGAGACCTGGGCAGGCCTGGGGCCTGGGGCCTGGGCATGAAGAGAGTGGTGAGGAGAGGCAGCCCTTGAAGTGAGGAAGGGGAACAGGTGACAGAGGATGGGCACACAGCTTACCTCTGGGGGATGGGTGTGTACATGTTGTTTCTGGATCTGGAAAGACAGAAGAAGCCATTATTTTTACAAATGTCATGACAACCACCCCTTGCATTGGTCTGAGAAGGCCCTTCCAGGTGGCTAAGTGCTTTCATATTCATCAACTATTTCATCTCCAGAAGCTGAGACGGGATTGTCCCTGGCTCCATGATGCAGGTAAAGAAACCAAGGCTCAGAGAGTCTAAATCCAAGGTCACACAGCTAGTAAGTGGCTAGTTGAATCCAGGCCTCTGACCCCTGGGATGTTGTCTTCCCCCTGCTGTGACCTCTCAGCTGTGCTCCTCTTCTGCTTCTAAATCCCTAACTCTGGGTATTGTCCAAGGCTAGAATACAGCTCTCTAAGCAATAACCGGTTATATTAGAAAAGTCTAAAATCATCTATTTAAACTTCTGCCATTAAAAAAAAAAACTAGCAAAGGAAAAGAAAATTAAATCCAAAGTAATCAGAAGAAAAGAAATAATAAAAATAAGAGCAGAAGTTAATAAATAGAAACAGAAGAAAAGACAAAATCAATGAAGCTTGAGAAGACACAATTTCCAATACAGGGATATCACTACAGATACTACAGATATTTAAGAAAACAGAATATTACAAAAAATTTTATGCCAATATATTTGACAACTTGGATGAAATGGACAAATTGTTTGAAAGATACAAACTATGAACACTCACTCAAGAAGAAACAGATTACCTGAATAGTTCTGTATCTATTAAAGAAATAGAATTTGTAGTTAAATTCCTTCCTAGCAAAAAAAAAAAAAAAAATCCAAGCCCAGATTGCTTCACTGGTAAATTCTACCAAAAATTTAAGGGAGACATACCACCAATTCTACATACACTCTTCCAGAAAGTAGAAGAGGAGGAAACACTTCCCAATTCATCCTACACTGTCAGCACTATGTTGATACCAAAACCAGATAAATATAAGAAAAGAAAATGATAGACCAATATCCCTCATCAACATAGACACAAAAAATATTAATAAAAGTTTAGCAAATGGAAACCAACAAATATAAAAAGGATAAAACATGATGGCCAAATGGGGTTTATGCAAGGTTGGTTTAAACCTGAAAAGCAATCAATATACTCCACCTCATTAACAGACCAAAAAAAAAAAATATATATATATATATATTTATATATATGTATGTATGTACGTATGCATGTATATGGAGCCCCGGTGGTCCAGTGGTTAAAGTGATCGACTGCTAACTGAAAGGCTGGTGGTTCGAAACCACCAGGGGCTTCACAGAAGAAAGATGTGGCAGTCTGCTTCCATACAGATTTACAGCCTTGGAAACTCTATGGGGTCGCTATGAGTCAAAATCGACTCCACGGCAGTAGGTTTGGTTTTTTGGTTGGTATAAACCTGTTGCTGTTGAGTCCATTCCAACTCATAGCAAACCTATAGGACAGAGAACTGCCTCATAGGTTTTCCAAGGAGCAGCTGGTGGATTTGAACTGTCAGCCTTTTGGTTAGCAGCCAAATGTTTAAACACTGTGCCACCAGGGCTCCTTTGGTTGGTGTATATATATATATATATATATACATGTTGTTGGGTGCCAGCAAGTCGATTTCAACTCAGAGCAACCCCATGTAGAGTAGAACTGCCCCATAGGGTTTTCTAGGCTGTAATCTTTACAAGAGCAGATCACCAGGTCTTTCTCCCTAGGAGCTGCTGGGTGGCTTCAAACCAGTGACCTTTCAGTTAGCAGCCGAGCGCTTAAGTACTGCGCCACCAGGGCGCTCTCTCTCTCTCTCTATATATATATAATCAATAGCTGCAGAAAAAGCATTTAATAAATTCTACAACCCTTCTTGATAAAAACTCTGAGCAAACTAGCAATTGAAAGGGAATTTCCTTCCTTAACTTCATAAAAGGCATCTACAAAAACACCTTACAGCTAGCATTATACTTAATGGCTCCTCTAATTGTAAACTCCCTCCCTGCGGAATTTCACCCATACCCAGGCATCAGCTCCACTGTGGGAGCAACCTTTTTTATGCAAAAGTTATTCAGAAAAAAAAAACAAAACCTGAAGGCAAGCATTTTTAAGCAAATGTTATCTCTTTTAAAAATTCAGAAAATGCAGTAACTACAGCTTCACTCACTTTTAATATGTTCCCTTCACTAGTGGGTTTGTTTTTTTGGCTTAAAATGCAGAGACCACATATCAGCAAGTGCTGCGATAGAGCTCATGCTGTGCATCTGAACAGTCTGTGTAAGGTGCAGGAGGCCGGGATTGGAGAATTCGAAGGTAATGAGGCAAACTGGCACCATGAGGGCATTCTTAGGAGCTGGGGAAGCAGGAGAAAAGACCCAGCAGTTTGCGGGGAATGGGTGCGGGAACAGAGTGTTGAGTCTGAGTAGGAAACAAAAAAGGAGCCTCGGTAGTGCAATAATTAAGCGCTCAGTTACTAACCGAAAGGTTGGCCGTTTGAACCCACCCAGCCACTCTGCGGGAGAAAGACCTGGCGATCTGCTCCCATAAAGATTACAGCCCAGAAAACCCTATGGCGCAGTTTTACTCTGTCACATGAACTCACTATGAGTTGAAAATGGACTTGTCGACACCCAATAACAAGAAACAAAGAGGGAGGTGACGGCAAAATACCATGTAAATTATGACTTTCCTTTTCCACTCCCAACCTACTAAACGGTGGAAGGCATTTTTTGGCACTACACTTGGGGGTGAGGGAGGGTAGTGAGGGGGAGGGTTGGAGGAGGGAAGCTTTAATGTTCCTCCATCCCACAGCGGTCACGTGCTGTGCCCAGATCCCCTGCAACCAGCAGCCCAGCCTGTGTGACTCAGGTGTGAAGTGGTGAGGTGGCCAGTCCAAGCTCAAGACAAGTGAGAGACAGAGTGACCAGGAGAACGAGTTTGTCAGCCTTAACAGTTTTCATCCTGTATAACTGAAATGAGAGCTCAGGCCATAACTCAAAACCAGGTATTCCACCCGCTGGGGCTGCAGGCCAAGCACCACTGCCAAGTCCGATGACAGGGTTGGCTGTCTGCTTCTTCCTCACTACCCGGTAGGACAGAGTAGAACTGCTCCATAGGGTTTCCAAGGCTATAAATATTTATGGAAGCAGCCTGCCACATCTTTCTCCCGGCGAGTGGCTGGTGGGTTCAAACTGCCAACCTTTGGGTTAGCAGTCGAGCGCTTTAATCACTGTGCCACCAGGGCTCCACTCTGGCTGCCCAAGGACCTCGTCAAAAATGTCGGGGCCCACGTCCTAGCCCTGAGGTTCTGCCTCCTCAGGTCGGGGGTGGGGCCTGGCCATCTGTGTTTGGAACATCTGTTCCAGATAATTATGATGTTACCAGCAGATAGTCTCGTGCTTGCCCGTACATTAGAATCATCTGGAAGGCTTTTAAAAATCTCAATGCCCAGGCCACATCCCAAGCCATACTCTCCAGGCTGGAGCCTGGATACCCGTGTTTGAGAAGCTCCAGATGGAACACTGTCCAGGGCTGACTCCCTGCTGCCCCATCTGGCCCCTGGTCCTCAGCCTTGTGTTCCAGGCTCTCCCGGGTAAAGGTCCATCCTGACGTCTTGCCTTTCATTCTTTTCTCCCCATTCCAAAAACATACACTGCCGTCAAGCTGATTCTGACTCATAGAGACCCTGCAGGACAGAGTAGAACTGCCCCACAGTGTTTCCAAGGCTATAAATCTTTACGGAAGCAGCCTGCCTCATCTTTCTCCCAAGGAGTGGCTGGTGGGTTCAAACTGCCAACCTTTTGGTTAGCAGTCAAGGGCTTTAATCGCTGCGCCACTGGGGCTCCCTAAGGCCACAGCCAGGGGCAGACCAGTAAGCAAGGTATGCAGGGGCTTATTTGTGTTTACTTACTAATCTGTAGTGTGCAGTTTCACTACAGATTAGTAAATAAACACAAGTAAGCCCGTGAGTACCTTGCTTATTGGATAATCCGTCCCCAGCTACAGCTCTTCAAGCTTCCTCAGTGCCCACCTCCACTTCATGTTCATCCAAGCCCCGCCATAGCTCCAGACCCACGGTAAGCCAGCTGTTCAAGGAGACTTCCCGAGCCTCGCCTTCTCTGGGAGGTTCCCCAGCCCTCTCACCTGGGGGCACACACCTCAGCCCTGCTCACAGGCTGTCTGGTAGCATGACCCGACTGCTTCCTGTCTGAGCTGGACTGTAAGCTCCTCCAGCAGGGGATACACCTGGTATGTCTGCACTCCTCACGCAGCCCACGAGAGTCTTACGTTTCCCACAAGGTCAGTCATTGTGCAGGAAGAGAGCGGTGGGGAGAAACTGAGATGAAGAAGAAGAGTCTGTGCCCTCATGGTCTAGCTAGAGGGGTGGTGTAGTAGAGGCCATTTCACCCAGTGGGACCTCAGACAAACTTCCCATAGGAGGGGGATGCCACAGGCAGCATCAGAAGGAGCTTTAGAGCTTATCGGGTCCCTGGGTGGCACAAATGGTTTGCTTTTGGCTACTAACCAAAGGTTAGCAGTTCGAATTCACCCAGCAGTGCCATGGAAGAAAGGCCTGGCAATCTGCTTCTGTAAAGATTACGGCCAAGAAAACCCCACGGAGCACAGTCCTACTCTGTAACACACGGGGTCGTCGTGAGTAGGAATTGACTAGACGGCAACAGGTTTAGTGCTTTTCTAATCCTACTCTGCATCTACCTCCCAACACATACCCACACACACAAATCCCTTCTATAGCAATCCCTCGCCATCTCTCCTTGAACACTTCTGGTGATGGGGAACTCACCACTCACTCACACGGCAGCCTCCGCTACACCTCTGTGAAAGCTTTTCCTTTCTCCTGCTCTGCCATGGTGCAGTTATGGGCCTGCTTTCTCCCCTACTAGACTATCGGGGCCTTTTGCCCAGGTCTATATTTTGTCTCTCTGGATCTAGCTGGAACCCCATGCTGTGAACCCCTGCAGGTGCTCAAAGAATGTGTTTGATTAACAGGGCTTGTTGGGCAATTATTCCAGCAAGTGGGACCTGAGGGATAGCACAGGCTTTCAGCAGGCTGGGACAGGCTGGGACAGGCAGGGGCAGCCCCCAAGGCAGAAAGCAGGGGGTAGGGATCCAGTCAGCCTGTCATGGGACTGGGAGGCTGGGGGAGAGAAATGCATGCTCTGCTGGCTGTCCCAGAGCCACCTCCCCCCTCATCCAGGAACAAGGACACACTGGGGGGCCTGGGGAAGGCGGGGGTGTCATTGTTGTGCACACCTCTAAGGCAATGCTTGACAGGGGTTAGGAATACAGAAGTCCTGGTGAGCCTGGGTACCAGTGCTATCTCTGCCCTTCTCAAACCCTGATTCCATGGACCCCCAACAGGTCCCTTCACCTCCCAGTCCCTGTTTGCCTCTAGGTGTGAAATGAAAGTGCCTACCCCTCTCCCCGAGAAGGGTTGGGAGTAGGTGTCAACACGAGAAGCTACACTAGAAAGTACCCCAGAGCCTCCCAAGCTGGGACGTGGGCATTCTCTGGAGCCCTTCCAGATGCCGGGTTTGCAGACTCCTCAGCTGTACTCTTTCCCCTGACACCAAGTGGGACTGCTACCCTTCACCACACTCCACCTTCACCTCCCTCTCCACCCTATCCCGACAGCAGACAGCCGGCCAGAGCCTCAGCTGGAGTCTTCTGAATTAGCAAAGTAATCGGCTATGCCAGTGTGTCTGAGTTCAAATGGCTAGGCCTGCCCCACTCCCACCCCAAACCTCCCCAGCCCAACAAGTACCAAATGAGAACCTGGAGCCTGGTAAAGGCCTTGACTGCCAGGACGGTGGCTGGGAGATACCGTTCCTGGCACAAAGTGGTTTCCAGAAATGTGGGTCTCTGTTTCCAGACCCTGGCAGCCAGCCCTTGCCTGCCACCCAAAAGAGTCCCAGACAGCCTCCCCACCCCCACCAGGGGCCACTACTCCCTCAGCCGCCCTCACACTTTCTCCTTTCAACGGCTCTTCTTCCTCCTACTTCTGCTTTTCAAGCGCTCTGCCTCCCAGCCTGGCCTCACCCCAGCTTCTCACTTGCCTCTAACTTCTGGGCTGCCCCACCCATCTGCCTAACCCCTGGGCTCTGTCCCCAGCCTGTGCAGAGGCAATGTCCCCCAAGAGAGAGCGGTGGACAGTTGTTGGAGGGCAGGGCAGGTGCTGATGGGGGAGGGCAGGCACTGAGGGCCGGGCAGTGGGCACTGCCAGGCTGGGAAGGGGAGGACAGCTCAGCGCAGCAGTCTCCTCGGAGGGACACAGAGAGTCAGATGGTCCACCCCCACCCTGGCCCCTCAGCCGGATGCGGGCGGCAGTCAAGGCAGAGGTTGTGTCTCTGAGCTGAGTCTGGACCGGGGAGGAAAGCCAGCCTGGCCACATTCCCCACTCACCAGCCTCATGGGCAAAGCACATCTGCACAGCCCCGGCAGAGAGGGTGTTAGTCACATTTCCTGCTGGGTGGGGTCACTGACTCCACACCAATTTTTCCTCCTTTCCCTAATGTGTCCTTCTCCTTGCTCTGAATGCCTCCATTTGATTTTTTTTTTTTTTTTTAAGCTTGGTACTGAGGGAATGACAGAGGCCCCGGAAACACCCTTGGCTGTCTCCTGCATAGACCAGATGCTGCTCAAGACTACCCTCTGCACTGCCTCTCAGTCACCGATGCCTACTGTCACAGACTCGGCGCCAGGCATGCTGGGGGACAGTGATAAAAATAAGCATGGTTCTGGCTCAACCCAGGGACAACCACCCGTCCTACCATCACAGTCACAGGACCCTAGCTAGTCTGATACAGGGAGAGGAGGCACCAGGAGCAAGTGAGGCACCCAGCCATGCAGCCATACATGCACGGCTCCTCTGCCCAGGACCCTGGCCTCAAGTCCTGGACACAGGCCTGGCCTGGCCCCGGTGTTAGGATCAAGGTCAAGGCCCCATCCAGGGGTCAGTGGTGGTGGGGACAATGAAGCAAAACCCAAAGCCAGCCTTACCAATTAGCCAACCTCCAAACAAACCTCATTATTTGACAGTACAAGAAAAGTTTGAAGAAAACTAAGCACTGTATGAAAGTTTCTTATTGAAACTAAATCAACCCATGTGCTAACATTTCTGAGCCAGAGCACGATGGGAAGGTAAATGTCCTTCCCCAAAGAACACAGACTGACCATGGCACCTAAGCGTCTCCACAGCCACACTGCCTGCCTTAACAAAAGGGTGATCTGGGTTGAAATCCCAGCAGGGTTTGGTCTCCACGAGAACCAGAGGCTGGGCAGACAACCTGGTAGAGTGGAAAAAGTTGGACAGTTTGGCCACTTATTAGCTGTGTTTCCTCAGGCAAGCGATCTAACCTTCTGGAGACTCCCTGTGCCCCATCTGTAAAATGGGCATAAAGATAACTGTAAGGATTACATGAGATCCTATAATTAAGCCCTGGTGGCACAGATGGTTAAGCACTTGGCTACTAACAGGAAGTTTGGGGGTTCAAATCCACCCAGCAGCTCCGTGGGAGAAAGACCTGGCAATCTGCTTCCAGAAAGATCACAGCCAAGAAAACCCTATGGAGCAGTTCTATTCTGTCACACATGGGGTCACTAGGAGTTGAAAACGACTCCACGGCAACTAAAACAATAAAAACCAACCAGTTGCCGTGGAGTTGATTCCTACTCACTGCGACCCTGTAGGACAGAGTGGAACCGCCCCATAGGGTTTCCAAGGAGCAGCCGGTGGATTTGAACTGCCAAGGTTGGCAGCTGAGCTCTTATCCACAGCGCCACCAGGACTCCAATAGATGCTCAGTAAACACAGACCTTTTTATCTTCCCCGAAATTTGCCATTCACTCCAACAATGACAATTTACTAATGACTGCAGCAAATGTGCCCACCACCTAGAGAAACAGTGCCCCGGCCCCTCCCCCAGCTCATCATTTAGCCACCGGAGAATGGAGAGTTAAACCACACGTCCTCTCTCCTCCACCCGTGCGGACCCTAGGGGGCTCTTAGGTTCCTGGCTCTGGGCTCCAACCCAGGGGACAAGGATGAATGGGGGTCACTGCTCTCCACGCTTGAGCCTCGCCAGGGAGAAAGGTGGCCCCATTACCACAGAAAAAAAAGAGGGAGAGTTTTGCAAATTAACCGTGAAACAAAAGAGCAGGCAACTCAGCCAAGGAGTCTCAAGCAGCCTTGGAACTCAAACAACGTGCAATCAACGACATTATCTGGTAACAAGGCTCTAAAACTTATCTTTTAGGAGACTCACATTCTTCTTTCCCCTCCAGCCTCCCCCAGCAGGATTACTTAGGCTTTGTCCCAAATGGAGTAAAATAAAGCATTTCTTTGCTGCTGCTAGCACGGACCCGCCCTCTCTCTCCCCTCCTTCCAGGAAGTGAGGAGATGGGATTAGACACGGAAGTGCTCCCCAAAGAGCTGCCTCCTTGTGGGGACAGGAGAGGAGAACGGGTCACCCCCAAAGAGGTGGTACCTGGCCTGCTGCACCCCTCTGACCCCAAAGGGGGAGCCCAGATGCCCCAATGATCAGATTGCAAAGTGCTACTTGCCTTCGAGCTAGCGCCCTGCTCCGGCCACAGTCTCAACGGTCTGCCCCCCGCCTCCAGAGATGAGTGGGTAGAGGCTGCTCTGGGTGAGTCAGAGGGAGGGGCCTGCTCGCCTGAGTAGGCTGGGGGCGCAGCTGAGCCAGCCCCTCAGAACTGGCTCTCCCTGGCAGACCTGGGGCCCAAAAGGGACGTTTAGTTGGACATGGAATTGAGGAAGCTAAAGGCGGATACACTCTGCTGAAAACTGTGAGAGAATTGTAGTGTTCACCTCCTATTCAGTTTACAAGTCCTGGCCTGTCCGGAGCCCTGGTGGGCAGGGGTTAAGAGTGGCAGCTGTTAACCAGGAGGCCAGCCATTCAAATCCACCAGCTGCTCCTGGGAAACCCTATGGGGTAGTTCTGCTCTGTCCTACAGGGTTGCTATAGGGTTGCTATGAGTTGGAATCGACTTGACAGGAACAGGTTTGGTGTTTTGGTTTGGCCTCAATCATAGGAGCCCTGGTGGCTCAGTGGTTAAAGCACTTGGCTGCTAACCAGAAGGTTGGTGATTTGAACCCACCAGCCATTTACAGGAGAAAGATATGGCAGTCTGCTTCCATAAAGATCTGTTGTTGTTGTTGTTAGGTGCTGTCGAGTCGGTTCTGACTCATAGCAACCCCTATGTACAACAGAACAAAACACTGCCTGGTCCTGTGCCATCCTCACAATCATTGCTCTGTTTAAACCCATTGTTGTAGACACTGAATCAGTCCATCTTGTTGGTTGAGGATCTTCCTCTTTTTCACTGACCCTCTACTTTACCAAGCGTGATGGCCTTCTCCAAGGACTGGTCCCTCCTGATAACATGTCCGAAGTACATAAAGATTTATAGCCTTGGAAAACCTGTGGGGCCGTTCTACTCTGTCCTATAGGGTCACTGTGAGTCGGAATCGACTCAAAAGCAACGGGTTTGATTGGCCTTAATCACGCTACTTACAGCTAGTGACCGTGAGCATCTCTGTGATTTAAAAGTGTTTTCTCCTTTTCAAAATGGGCAACTGAGAGCTTGACATAACTAACGCCATGTTGAACCCATAAGTTTTTTTTTCCTTTTCTCTTTGCCTTCTCCTTTCCACATACCTTTGTCAATGACTTTGTTTTGCTCTGTCTGTCCACCTGTGGCTTATGACCCCCCACAGGAAGATTAGAGCCCGGATGTCTGATATGTATATCTTTAGCCTGATATGGAGATGTCCAGCATGTATCTCTTTAGTATGATAAAAAGTCTCTTGTAATTACCTTGTATGAATAATGACACTTCTAACCTTTGTAAAAATCATATAAAATGATGGTAAAAATGCCTTTTGGAACTCCATAGAGAGAGCCTACATTGCTGTTGGATCCCCAGTGGTGGACACCGCCTAAATAAAACTTTCTCTTTCAATTGCTCCAGGGTACAGACCCTATTCGGATACATTATCTTGTTCAGTCCCTACACCTACCACGTAACTGAGACATCATCGTTATTGTTACTTAATAGGTGAAGAAGTCTTAGGGAATGCTCAGAGAGGGTAAGCAACTTGCCCAGGGTCTCATTGCTAGTTCAGTAGTGGAACCAGGATTCTAACCCAGGCTGGCCTGGCCTTGAAGTCAATGCTCGACCTCTAACACCTCACCCTTCTCTTCTTCCTTCAGAGGAAAACACATCAGCCAGTGTCTGCACTACGCAGCCAGGCCTCCCCAGCACCTCAGCCAACTGCTCTGGAAGTGTGGGACAGCAAATGGTCCACACTTTTGCCTGGGATCCTTGACAAGTGGCATCAGGATCAGGGTATGGGCCCGTGATAGAGTGATGAGAGGCCTTTTTTCTTTCTTGGGAAGCAACTTCGACAATCTCAGCCAACATGAGTTTCTCTGAGGCCCACTGATGAGGTGAGGGTACCCCTTTACCTCTGGGCAACCCTAGACACCCCATTCCACTGAGGAATCCTTAAAAACAACCCTCCCTACACTTGGCCACCCTCCTCTGACCAACTCTGCTCACCGGTCAAACTCGGCTTAAATAGCCCACCTCTAAAATGTAAATATCCTTTCCTGACTCCCTCCTCAGTGCTCTCCTGGACCTATGGCATCAAGGCCTCTGGGCCAGCTGGGCCTACCATCCCCATGGGAAAACTTTTCAGCTACACCTTGCTAACAAGAGTGGGTTTGTACCCAGGGGCAACCTACTCAGCCCCCCTGGCCTGCTTCCAGACAGCAGGGTCCTGACAAGGCCCTGCTAGGCATGGTCCTCCCAGAGCATTCTTTTTTTAAAAATATATTGTTTTTTTTTAGGTAAAATTTACTGTGAAAAGCACAAATCCTAAGTGCATGGTTCAGTGTCTAGCATATGCAAACAACCCACACCCTTATCAAGACATAAAACACTTCCACCACTCTAGAAAGTCCCCTCGCCACCATGTTTTCATCTGCCACACGTCGGCCTCTCCCACCACACTGCTAGTTCCTCCAGCCCAAGGACCATATCAGGTCATCCTTGTAAACTCAGCACCTAGCATAGCACCCAGCAGGTAACAGACACTCAAAAAAGAGTTGGCTGAATGCATTAACAGATTAGGGAGCAAAATCCTCACATTTTAGCACTGCCAGGGGCCTCTGCCACCCTAGGAAAGTCACTTAAGTCTTCTGAGCCACAGGTTTTTCCCCTAAGAAGTGAGGACAATAACCCAACCCTCCTCCCTCAGGAGATTGTGAGGGCCCAATGAGATGATATATGGGAGGCACTTTGAAAAAGAAGGAAGGCCTGGACACATGCAAGGTGCTAACATTATTATCAATAAACTCCTGGGTCTAGGATGGCATCAGGCTGAAATAAGGAGAGGGAGGAATTGCACGCTGACTTCCAGGCTGGGCTGCGTAGCTCTGGCCAAGGGCTGGGGCCGCCAAAGACCTGCTTCCTGCTTCTATGTCCCTGGACCTAGGGTATGGGCTGATCTCCAGGACCAAGAATTACCTGAAATTGCTGAGTGAGTTCCTCGCTGGCTTCCAACTACCCTGCTGTATGGTCCTCTTGGGGCCTCACTTTCCCCATCTATAAAATGAAGACTAGACTGTCGGTTTGTCGTACTGTGGTGGCTTGAGTGTCACTCTGATGCTGGAAGCTATGCCGCTCGTATTTCAAATACCAGCAGGGTCACCCATGGTGGACAGGTTTCAGCAGAGCTTCCAGACTAAGGCAGACTAGAAAGAAAGGCCTGGCGTTCTGCTTCCAAAAATCAGCCAATGAAAACCTTATGGTCACAACAGAACAATATCTGACTCAGTTGCTTTGGACATGTCATCAGGAGGGATCAATTGCTGGAGGAGGATATCATGTTTGGTGAAGTAGAGGGCCAATGAGGGTGGGGGAGAGACCCTTGGTGAGATGGATTGGCATAATAATTGCAATAATGGACTTGAAAATGCTAGCAGTTGTGAGGATGACACAGGACCGGGCCACATTTCATTCTGTTCTACATAAGGTCACCATGAGTCAGAGTCAACTCATAGCAACTATCTGTCTATCTAGACTAGGATGGTCCCTTCTGGCTACTTTGACTCCATCCTGAGGTGCAGCTTGGGCTGAGCTGTTGTGTTTCCTCAGCCTGGATGTCTGACAAGGGTCTGTCACAATACCTAAAAATTCCAATGTTAAAATTCCCTAAAATATTCCTTTGAAGAAGGGTTTTGACCTGCAAATGAATTTTGCTAGAGCATTTCACAGTCTCTGAGGCATGGTTAAGGAATGGCTTCTAACCCAAAGGTCAGCAGTTTGAATCCACCAGCAGTTCCTCGAAAACCCTACGGGGCAGTTCTACTCTGTCTTATAGGGTCACTAGGAGTGGGAATCGACTCAATGGCAATGGTTTTTTTTGGTTTTTTTTTTTTTGGAGGAATGGCCAGGGTTTTGGATGGCCATATTTTCTGCAGGAAACTCAGGGTTCAGAAAGTTTTGTGTTTTAATCACTGCTGGGTGCTCGGAGGCAACCTGGATAGTGACACCCTGGAGTTCCTTGGTGATCCCTTGGGAAAGTGGGAGTGTCTAGTACAGCATGAATGGGCGGGGCCGGGGAGGAGCCCAGGTGGAACACTACGGTGGTGGGGAGAGCACCGGTGAACGGGCAGAGGGGCTGACCCCCAGAAGGACACAAGAGGACAGCCAGGGTCACGCACGGTCAACACCACTGCAAGGCCTTGATAACAGCTAACACTACTGGGTGCTCACTATCTGCCAGGTCCTGTCCTTTGCATGAGTTTCTCATTTAATCTTCCCACATGCTGTTTGGTAGCGCAATGGTTAAGCTGCTAACCAGAAGGTCAAGTTCAAACCCACCAGCCACTCTGAGGAAGAGAAGACCTGGCGATCTGCTCATGTAAAGATTACAGCCAAGGAAACCCTATGGGGCAGTTCTACTCTGTCCTGTAGGGTTGCTAGGAGTCGGAATCAATAAGACAGCACACAACAACAACAACAAAAACAAACTCCCTAAGGTAAACCCACTGCCGTCCAGTCGACTCCGACTCCTAGTGACCCTACAGAACAGAGTAATACTGTCCCATAGGGTTTCCAAGGCTGTCAATCTTTATGGAAGCAGATGCCACATCTTTCTCCCACTGATCATCTAATGGGTTCAGACCACTGACCTTTCGCTTTGCAGCTGAGCACTTAACCACTGCGCAACCAGGGCTCCTTTTCTCTCTAACGTAGATCCTTTTATTGTCCTCATTTTACTGACGATGAAACTGAGGCAAAGTGAGGTCAAAGTAACTTGCTCTAGGACACACTTAGTAAGTGGCAGAGGATATGCTTGGAGCCAGGTGTGGGGACTCCATGCCTCCTTCCTAGCCACCCTCCCAGGCTGCCTCCTCAGATGGAGTTGGGCTGAGACAAGCACCCTTCTCCCTGCCAGGCCTTTCTCTCCCCTCCTGTCTGATATCATGGAGACTCAAGGCCACCCTGCTCTCAGCATGGAATGCTAGTGCCCACTGTGAGCTCCTTCATGCCAAGGAGCTACCTCTGCTCACCCTCCTGGCACCTTACCTTAAAAAAAAGTTATTTACAGAGATCTACAGATACAATGCAATCCTGATCCAAATTCCACTGGCATTTTTTAATGAGATGGAGAAACAAATCACCAGCTTCATATGGAAAGGAAGAGGCCCTGAATAAGTAAAGCATTACTCAGGAAGAAGAACATAGTGGGAGGCC